CGCCTTCCAATACGGATTAAGTTCGTAAGTCAAGACCCCACTGTATACTGTACAATTCCCAGAAGAATCCACCCAACATAGCTGGGATATTCTGGCACCTCTAGTTCCAAGACCCAGTATTTTGCCATCCCTGGAAATGGTCTCACTCGTTTTTTAGAACTCAGTCTACAAGTATAGAATTTCTAATGATCTCTTGTTCCTAAATAGCTTTGTGGCTCTTCTAAGAACTGCTAAAAGAGAAACTGGCTTCTCTAAGACTCCGGATGGGAGACAATTTTATTTGACAGATTTTTAAAAAAAATTAAATATATCAATATTTGTTAAGTCTTTTCACCTTCTTGACAGAAAGAAAACTGAAGAATTTAAAAATCGAACTGTGGAAATAAAATGTACAAAATTTTTGCACTTACGCCTAAGGTTTTATGAACCTGAAGTCTGGTTTTGAACTTGTACATTCAACTGTATCTGTGGTGCTGGATTGGGGCTGCGGTTAATTTAAAGAGTTTCCTCAGTTTTAGCATTTATATGGCAGACAGATGTGGTCTTCATTTAGCCAGGAATCGCAACCTCTGGAATTTGGACAGAGCAAATGGGGAATTTTATTCTGATTTATTTTTGCGGAATTTATGCTGTTCTCAAATGTGTTTAGGATGGAAAGAACCTTAGGTTTTAAAAGTGTGAATGGAAAAGAGAAGCTGAGAGAATGTCGCCCATCGGTCTCGGACATCCTCCTGAGTATACAGACTTTTTATTAAGACAGACTATATAGAATCACTATATATGGGTGTGAAGCTGGACAATTAAGAAAAAAGTTGATTCATTTGAAACATGAGCTTCGTGGATATTCTGGACTACCAGAAAGACAAATAAGTGGGTCCTAGATCAAATCAACCCTGAACTATCTCTGGAGGCAAAAATGTTGAAACTAAGGCCGTCCTACTTTGGACACATCATTGAGAAGGCAGGATTCTCTTGAAAAGACAATAATGCTGGGAAAGGTGGAAGGCAGCAGGAAAAGAGGAAGACCAAATACAAGACGAATTGACTCCCTAAAGGAAACCACAGGCTTCAGTTTGCAAAAGCTGAACAGGGCTGTTGAGGACAGGACATTTTAGAGATCGCTCATTCATGGGGTCGCCATAGGTTGAGGGCAACTTGACAGCACATAACAAAACAGGATCCGTATGTTTCATATGCCAACTGAACACAATGTGTACCCATGGAACATATTTGGCTTCTGATGTGACTAATTACTTTTCAAAAATAGCCTTGAGTTCTGGTTTCCTGATCCTTCAAATTTAAAGAATCATTGTCTGTACCCACACGTTAGCTAAAACACCCTAGCTGAGGTACTTTAACATTCAAAACATCTCTTAGGATAATAAAGGTTTTGAATCTGAAATCTGGATGACAGAAATTCTGTAAGTTTAATTTCACCAAAGGAAAAAAAGAAACAGACAAAAGATTCTGATAAGAATTTTTTTTTATGTTATTCCAATAAAAAATACATTCATACAGAAATATAACAATCTTGCAAAAAACAATTTCAAATAAAATCTTGTAAAACAAATTTTCTTTACAAAAATCTTACAAAGAGATTCTTTAGATAACAGGGTGCTTCCAAAAAACAAACAAACGAAATAAAGAAAACAGAATTTACGAATAGAAATTTTTTTTTCTGAAATTTCAAGCAATTTTTTTCCTTTCGGCTTGATTGAGGCTCAGTTATCACCTGAACAAAATGTACTTGTTTAACCACAAAACAGACAGTAATTTTTAAAAAAAAAAAACATTTGGCAAACAGCCCCATTGAAAATGATTGATATTTCACAACTGGAAAAGCTAATGCAAGGGGATTTTAAAAAAAAAACCAATTAAAAAAACCTCTTTTTTTTAAAGTAACAGATCTATCATGGCTAAGCAGAAAGATTGCAAACGAGGCAAAGAAAGGAATCCTCTCAAACACAATTTCCTCCCAAAACAATGAAACAAAACAAATCTGTTGTTGCCATGACCCATGTGTGAAGATTACAACACACACATGAATACTGAGGGGATTTCTCACTGTACTGTCTAGTGGAGAAAGCTTCATGTGTGAAATGGCATTTTTCATTGCAGCTATAGTGAATATCACCAACCCTAAACAGAAAGAACAAGGTACCCCCCTGCACCAATGAAGCTCCATGTTTGCATCAGAGCTTCACAGATTATAGACAATAAAATTTTTCCTGGAATATTTTTACTTTAAAAAGTGCACTTTCAAAGCATATTGAAAAGAAGAAGCAAAACCAAAATGCAATACAAACAGTATAGGCCTGTGCGTTCCTTAGAATCAGATAAAATGGTGTCTAATGTGGTTTAAAGATCTAGTCATCTTCACCATCATTTCCAGGAAAAGCTGCCCCAAATAGCAAGAAATGAGCTTACAGATGCAGTCTGTGTATAACTATGTCGCTGTTGTTAAGGAAGATGGTTCTGGAAATTGGTTGGTTTAATTTCTGAGGAAAGGATCATTTCCAATCACTCAGTAAACCACCTGGCTCCCCTTTAGCTCTAAGGAGAGCACCAAAGGAAACCAAACCACAATTATTCAGCTCTTTCTTGAACCTTCTCAGACGCTGAGGACCTGGTTTTTGTCTCTCGCCATTATTAGTATGTCCATCTTCAAATGGGTGTATGGGTAGTGCTTCTAAAAACTCTGGAAACATTTGAGAACGCAAGGCTGGCTCTCCAGGTACTGTTCAAGTCCAATTTTTTCACAATACGTCTGAGAGCCAGCTGAAAATTAGGAAGGAGAAGCATCCAGCACCGACAGAAAAGTTACCAAATGCTGAAGGGGGGGGGAAGCAAAGTGCCACTGAAACAAGAAGCTAAGGGACAAGGGCTGAGATACCACCCTGTCAAGTAAAAGTGATGGAGTACGACTCCCATTGCTCTGAAAGCTAGAATTTGGATTCTACAAGTTGTCCAACAACTTGCGTGAAAAACATTGCACTTCTGCAACTGTGGTCTCCCTCAGAGAGCATCTCCAGGGGCAACGCATCAGGTCACCCATGTTCACTTGAAGGTAGGGAAACATGAGAGAGACAAGGCTACCCATGAGCCTGCACAGCATTCCCCAACCCTGAAATGAAATGGGACACTAGAATGCCGCCCTTCTTCCGGTGGGTCTTCAAGCAAACCTTTCAGAGGTCTACAAGTCTTTAAAAAAATGAAATTTAAGTGTTTATCGCTGTTGTTTGTTTGTTTCCTTTACAGAAAATGCCGTGAAACAGAGGTCTCCTTCCAGGCTGTGTTACTTCTTAGCAGAAAATGCAACTCAATCCTTAAAAAATAATAATATATTATCTATATAT